TCTGCTTTACATGCTTATCAATTTGTTCATTCACAGTATTATTTATTACTGTTATCTCAGATATCAGCTCCTTCCTAGTTTCTTCTTGTGTCTCCTCAATTCTTTTTAGTCTCTCCATTATTGTTTTGATATCTACATTTGCATTTTGAGACCCTTCATTCTGGGGACTTTTCATTGTTTGTATTCCAAAGTCAATTTTCTCAGTGTCTGCTCTCCCAGGCGTCTGGGAGAGACCCATACTCTTCTTTTGGTTTTTCTTCATTTCTGTAGATTTTTCTCCCTTTACCCCTTTCCCTCCCCCTCTTCAATTCTGTTTTTGAGGGAAGGTGGGGTTGCTTTTATTTCTCTTCTGCAATGACCTGTTCTTCCTTATGAGGGTCTTCTGGTTTTGTTCACTTTTCCCTCTGCTTTACAGTCTGTCTATTCAGCAGTTTGCAGTCTTGGTCCATTCAGAGAATCTCACCAGTTCACCTATGCCGTCGCCATCTTGCCCCGTCTCTCTGATTTCTTTTAAGAGCTCAGTTGCCTTTGCTGTGATCTTCTGTCTTCTGAGTTTTGCAAACTTTATTTCTCTTGACAGGTATGCGAGGATTCATGACAGCACATGGACAGCCAGACCAGCCTCGATCGGCACGCTATATCCTGGACCGCTGCTTCGCCCGCCACCGCGTCTGCATCTCCTTCGGCCTGTGGATCTGCGCCTCCTCCTGCTGGATCGCCGCCCACACGCTGTAATGGGGCCCGGGACCCGCGGCGCGAGGGGGTGGCGGGTCTGTCGTGGGGGGAATGGGCGCTAACCCCCGGCTACTCCCTCCAGGAGACCTCCAGGAAGGGGCGGAAAGGGTGGGGGATGGAGGAGCCGGATCGTCTAACGTTTAACTGAAGTCGGATACTTCTTTCCGGATTCCACGCACAGGGAAGCTGGGCTGTGAGCCAATGGGAAGAGGCTGGGTGGTGCAGTGGTTGGGGCTCTGGGCTGCGCACTCGTGAGTCCTGGGTTCTATTGTCAGCCCTTCTCCGCCGACTCGCGGTGCGAATTCTAAAACCTCTGGGCCTCATGTGAATGGGTGGGAGAATTAAAATGAGGGGCAAAGTACTTAGTAAATGTTTACATTTGTATTGTCCCAGCAATTCCGCCAATCCTGGGGACCTTGACAAATTCCTGGATGTTTCTGCCCTCAACCTACCCAAGGTCCTCTTAGCTGGGGAGGGGTGTGGTGATGATCTGACTCTGGCCACAGCCCAGCACCTGGAGTGGTTTGGGTAGGTGGTCACTATAGCCGGTGTTCTAAGGGTGAAGTCTCCAGGTCTTCAGCCACCCTGTCCCAGGTACGGAAATCCACAGGCAGTGCCCAGGATGGTGCCACCCAAGTATTCCCTGGCAGGGGAGAAAGGACCAGCACTCCTGAGAGAGGCTGCAACCGGACTCTTAGACACTCGATGGATATTCCCCGCAGGCAGGCGTTTGCTTGTGTTGCAGAGATGCCGCAGCCCCGCTACCCAGTGACTGGAATACCAATAAAAAGACTCTTAGAACATTTACTGTGGGCCTAGTGTTGCATTCATTAACTCGTTCAATCCCTGCCACTCTTCAGCACCATGAGGTAGGTCCTGTTATTACCCTCACTTTCAGTGAGGAACCCTGAGGTTCTTGCTCGAGTGAATGGAAATACCCGAAACCCCACATCCTACGAAAAAGGGCAGGCTTGTAAAGATTAAACTCTCCAGTGCAGAAGCCGGAAACTAACGAGGCCCTGTACGTGCGTTATCTCATTTGTTTCTCACCGTCATCCTCTGAGGTCAGCACTGTTAGGCACTTTGCCAACCTGGAGACCAAGGCTTAGAGAGGTGAAGTATCTCCCTTGGGAATGCTCAGCAAGCCAGTCTGGGAGCAGAGCCTCTGCCCTTTCACCCTGTCTGGGGTCTGGACATACCCCTTTTAAGACCTCGCCATCCCTTAGCATCCACTGGTCTCTGGGGAATGTGTCTCTTCTGAGTGGCGTGTCAGCTGTGTAAGGTCAGCCTGGGGTTCTGTGGCCCAAAGAGCTGGCGAAGTGGCAGAGCCACAGCAAAGCCTCCACAAAAGCCAGAGGCCTTCTGAGAACTCACCTGATCTCCACAGGCCTGCGTTTTCTCCTCTCTCAAATGGGAGTGTTGATACCAATTATTTCTAATTTGGGCCCAAATTAGAGTCTGAGAGTCTCTAAGAGTCTTTGCTCCTTGGCCTTGAATTGGTTTCAGGAGTCCAGAATCCAAATTAAAGATTTATGTTCCCACCGTGAGCTTCCGGCTTTGGCTGGCAGGTCGGGAGATGTTTAGGAGCCCAAGAGCTTCAGTCCTCATCCATGGCTGATGCTCAGACCAACCAAGTAGTCCTCAGGATGTGGAGACAGTACCACCCTCTGGTTAAAGGAAATGAAACCAGAGCTACAGTCGTGCCTCAGTTTCTCCATAGAAATGTGGCAGGGAGATATCTAGTACAAAATATTTCCATGAGGCCAGGCACAGAGGCTCAGTTTATAATCCCAGCACTTTGGGAGGCTGAGGCGAGAGAATTGCCTGAGCCCCGGGGGTTCAAGACCAGCCTGGGCAACTTGGTGAGACCTCGTCTCTACAAAACATCACAAAAACTAGCCGGGCGTGGTGGTGTACGTCTGTAGTTCCAGCTGCATGGAAGGCTGAGGTGGAAGGATCGCCTAAGCCCAGCAGGTCGAGGCTGCAGTGGCTGTGAGCATGCCACTGCACTCTAGCCTGGGCAACAAAGAGTGAGACTCCAACTCAAAAAAAAAAATGTTTCCATGATCCCATCAGTGATGCTGACAGAGCCCCTCTGGCCCCTTCCAGCCTGCCCTGCCCTTCTGTGTGTGTCCTCGTGTGGAGGTGGGATGGAAAGCAGGTCATAGGCAGAGAAGTGATGGTGGGGAAGCTGGGGAGAGGTCAGCCAAAGTGCCAGTACTCGAGGAGTCTTGCTCTTCTTATGTGTAAAGAACATGTTCAGTTGGACACAGGCCCGCAGAAGCCAGACCATCTCACTTCAGGGATGGGTTAGAAGAATTTCAGGCAGGGTACAGTGGCTCACATCTGAATCTCAGCAGTTTGGGAGGCCAAGGTGGGAGAATCACTTGAGGCCAGGAGTTTGAGACCTGTCTGGGCAAAATAGTGAGACTCCATCTCTACAAAAATTAAGAAATTAGTCATGTGTAGTGGTCTGCACATGTACTTTGAGCTACTTGGGAGGCTGAGGCAGGATCCCAGGGGCTCACTTGAGCCCAGGAATTCAAGGCTGCTGTAAGCCATGACTGTTTCACTGCACTCCAGCCTGGGCAACAGAGTGAGACCCCAACTCAAAAATAAGTAAATAAAAAGAAATAAAGCCTGATGGCTAGTTTTTCAGTGCTGAGTGGTGGGCCATTAAATGGAGTCAGCCTATTTGGAGGAGGAAATCAATTCCTCTTCTTTTTTTTTTTTTTCTGAGTTGGAGTCTCACTCCTTTGCCCAGGCTGGATGGAGTGCAGTAGCATGCACACTCATGACCACCCCAGTGTCGACCTGCTGGGCTCCGGCGATCCTTCTGCCTAAGCCTTCCAAGCAGCTGGAACTACAGGCGCGTACTATCACACCAGCTGATTTTTTATTTATTGTAGAGACAAGGTCTTGCCAAGTTGCCCAGGTTGGTCTCGAACCCACGGACTCAGGCAATCCTCGCCTCAGCCTCCCAAAGTGCTGAGATTACAGGCTGAGCCACCGAGCACAGCCAGCAATTCCTCTTCACTGGGAAGGCAGTGTCTCCATCTCATGAGGTCTCGCTCCTGTTGTGTCTCCTTGACCAGTGGCTCAGCAATCTTTTGATCTCTTCCCATCTGTAAACTAAGTCCCAAAAACGCCTGCCAACTCCCTGGGGGAGAAACTGCTCCATAAGGATGCAAAGTCACAGTTTTCCTGTTCAGACACCTGCTTGGTCCTGTCCCCAGACTCATGGCTCCTGTGTTCTGTCCACACCCATCACCCAGGCTTCTCTATCTGAGATGTATAAAGAAATCCGGACGGGACCAGTCGGCACTGTGCGCAGCGTGCTGCCTCCTGACCAGTCTGTGTGACACCGTTGGGGCTATTCTGGCCAGACAACTCACCATCCAGGTATGTGAGGCCCACAGGGGACTCAGCCCTGCATAGGCCCAGTCTCCCTTTCTCTGCTGCAGCCACAGTGGCTTCTGTCTTGTTCCTTCAGCTCGCAAATCAGTGTCACCTCAGAGCCTGTTCCCTTGCTGTTTTTCCCGCCCTCCCGAAGGCCCATGTTCCCGTGATCTGCGTGGCTCACTGCTCACTTCTCCAAGCTCAAAAGTCACCTTCTCGAAAAGGCCTCCCCTGCTCAAAATGATGACCTACCTCTTCCACCAGAGTTCAGGATTCTGTCTTTCAACTCTTGTTTTCCATAGCTTAACCCCTAATACACCATTTACTTTACTTACCTGTTACATTATTGCTTCTTATCTGTTAACTCATATTCACATGTCAGCTCCAAAAGGGTAAGGATTCAGTCCCTGCCATATCCTTGTTACGTTAACAGCACCTGGCACCTAGTAGGTGCTCAGTAAATAGTTATTATTATTTTTGAGTTGGAGTCTCACTCTATTGCCCAGGTTGGAGGGCAGTGGCACGCTCACGACCACCACAGCCTCGACCTGCTGGGCTCAGGTACTTGGAAGGCTGAGGCGGAAGGATCACCGGAGCCCAGCAGGCAAGGCTGTGGTGGCCGGGAGCGGCCACTGCACTCCAGTCTGGGCAACAGAGTGAGACTCCAACTCAAAAAAAAAAAGGAAAAAAAAAATAGTGGTTAATATCTATTAAACATTTAACTACATACTTGGCACCCAGGGCCTTTCATGTAGTAACTCATTTAATCCCCAAACCATCCTGTGACATGGGTGCTGTCATTATTCGTGTTTTACAGATGTGGAAACAGGCATGAAGAGGCTAAATAACTTATCCAAGGCCACCCATCTAGGAAGTGACAGTGGCAGGATTCAAACTCCACAATGCATGCTCTTTTCTTTTTTTTTTTTTTTTTTGAGTTGGAGTCTCACTCTGTTGCCCAGACTGGAGCGCAGTGGCTGCTCCCGGCCACCGCAGCCTCGACCTGCTGGGCTCCGGCGATCCTTCCACCTCAGCCTTCCGAGAAGCCGGAATTAAAGGCATGCGCTCCCACGCCCGGCTGATTTTTTGATTTATTGTAGAGATGAGGTCTCGCTGCCCAGGCGGGTCTCGAACCCGTGGGCTCAGGCAATCCACTCACCTCAGCCTCCCAAAGGCGCGGGATTACAGGCTGAGCCACCGAGCCCGGCTACACAATGCATGCTCTTAACGGCTAGCTCGACTGTCGTAGTAGCCGGTGACTTTATAGGCACAGGCCTGAGCACATCCCATGTGCTGTCTCAAGTCACCTACTTGACTGTGGCACTCTTATTATGCCTGTTTCACAGATGAAGAAACTAAGGCCCAGAGAAACTTAATAACTGAGCCAAAGTTACACAGCAAAGACTGTAGTACAGTAGAAAGAGTGTAGACTAGGATGCGGAGAGCTGGGTTCTTCTCTCTGCCGATGGGCATCTGTGTATCTTGGGACCAGTCATGTCAACACTTGTCTCCTCACCAGTTAAGTGGAGATGATAATGGACTTTTCTTGGGATTGGTGGGAGGCGTCACTGGACTAATGTGTGTGGAAGCACCACGTCTGTAACTCCTGGGGTAGAGGGGTCCCAGGTAACAGGCTCTGTGGTGTTGGAAAAAGGTGCTTGAATGCCAAGACTCCATTTCCATTTGTCCTCAGGTTTTCACCGGTGCCTATCTAGCAGCTGTTGACTTAGTGAGCTTCGTGTTCATCCTCTTCCCAGCCTGTGGATCCAAATTCAAGTCCAGTTCAGGTGAGTGTGTGGCTGTCTGTTCTGTCTTCTCTCCCTAATTCACTCATTGGTATATGCTGTCTACTCCTGTGGGTACACGGGATGCCTATTCCTTTTCATGCCCTGAGCTGAGCCCTGCCAGGCAGAGACAACTGAGCGAGGTCCCTGACCTCAGTCAGTTGTGGGGAAGTGCCTAAACAATCATTAGAGCCAGATGTGGTGGCTTTTGCTTGTAATCCCAGCACTTTGGAAACAAGAGGATTACCTGAACCTAGGGGTTTGAGACCAGCCTGGGCAACTTGGCGAGACCTCGTTTCTATAATAAATAAAAAAATTAGCTGGGTGTGGTGGCACGCACCTATAATTCTAGCTGCTTGGAAGGCTGAGGTGGAAGGATCACCTGAGCCTAGCAGGTCGAGGCTGTGGTGGCCATGAGCGTGCCACTGCACTCCAGCCTGGGAGACGATTCCTACTCAAAAAAAAAAAATTAAAAAAAAAACAAACATACCAGGTGTGATGACTCAAAGCCATAATCCTAGCACTTTGGTTAGGCTGAGGCGAGAGGATTGCCTAAGCTCAGGGATTCGAGACCAGCCTGGGCAACTTGGTGAGACCTTGTCTCTACAATAAATCAAAAAACTAGCCAGGCGTGGTGGCCTGCACCTGTGGTTTCATCTACTTGGAAGGCTGAGGCAGAAGGATCGCCTGAGCCTAGCAGGTTGAGGCTTGGGTAGCCATGAGCATGCCATTGCACTCCAGCCTGGGTGACAGAGTGAGACTCCAACTCAAAAAAAAAAACAGGCCGGGCTCGGTGGCTCAGCCTGTAATTCCAGCACTTTGGGAGGCCGAGGTGAGTGAATTGCCTAAGCCTGTGGGTTCGAGACCCACCTGGGCAACTTGGTGAGACCTCATCTCTACAATAAATCAAAAATTAGCCAGGCGTGGTAGCACGCGCCTGTAGTTCCAGCTACTTGGAAGGCTGAGGTGGAAGGATCGCTGGAGCCCAGCAGGTCGAGGTTGCAGTGGCCGAGAGCGGCCACTGCACTCCAATCTGGGTGACAGAGTGAGACTCTGACTCAAAAAAAAAGCAAAACAGAACTGCTGGCTCAGAGGTATGTGCACATTTTGGGCAACCAGGGGGAAGTGCAGACTGCAGATGCCCAGAAGCACAAGGCATTGGAACTGTCTCTGTAGGCAAGGGCATTTAGAGTGGACAGAACAATGTGGGCAAAGGCAGTGCAGGGTATGGGAATAGATGATATCTCATTATGGAAGTCCAGGGTGCCCATGATGCCTGAAAATGAATGCCAGAGATGGGCATGGAGCGCCACAGCAGAGCAGGGGCTGGAAGTGACTGCATGGATGAGTAGCCGTGAGTAGCTATGACTGAGGGTTTCTAAAAGGGATGGCTGTGTGCTTGAACCCTTGTCAAAAAGAGGGCATGCTCATATCGCTGGGTAGCGTGCCCTCAGCTGCTCAGTGCTGCCCAGAAGACCCAGAAGAGAAGTTTCTTTTTTTGAGTTGGCATCTCACTTCTTCGCCCAGGCTGGAGTGCAGTGGCACCCTCATGGCCACCCCAGTGTCGACCTGCTGGGCTCCAGCGTTCCTTCCGCATCAGCCTTCCAAGGAGCCGGAACTACAGGCGTGCACTACCATGCCCGGCTAATTTTTATTTTATTTTATTGCAGAGACGAAGTCTTACCAAGTTGCCTGGGCTGGTCTCAAACCTGTAGGCTCAGGCAATCCACTCACCTTGGCCTCCCAAAGTGCTGGAATTATAGGCTGAGCCACCAAGCCCAGCCCTTTTTTTTTTTGAGTTGAAGTCTCACTGTGTCGCCCAGGCCACTGCAGGCTGGACCTGCTGGGCTCAGGCCATTCTTCTGCCTCAGCCTTCCAAGTAGCTGGAACTCCAGGCACGTGTCACCACTCCTGACTAATTTTTTGACTTATTGTAGAGATGAGATCTCACCAAATTGCCCAGGCTGGTCTCAAACGTGTGGGCTCAGGCAATCCTCTCACCTCGGCCTCCCAAAGAGAAATATTCTTATAGAACTGCTCAGCTGGGCACGGTGGCTCACACCTGTAATCCCAGCACTTTGGGAGGTAGAGGCTAGAGGATTGCCTGAGTCCAGGGGTTCAAGACCAGCCTGAGCAACTGGGTGAGACCTCATGTCTACAATAAATCAAAAAATTAGTTGGGCATGGTGGCGCACACCTGTATTTCCAGCTATTTAGAAGTCTGTGGCGGAAGGATCACCTGAGGTCAGCAGGTAGAAGCTGTGGTGGCCGTGAGCATGCCACTGCACTCCAGCCTGGGTGACAGAGTGAGACTCCGACTTAAAAAAAAAAAAAAAAAAGAATTGCTTACTGCTTAGACAGAGCACCATTTCACTCCAGCCTGAACAAAAAAGAAAAATGCTGCTCAGAGGACAGAGCCTGGACAGCTTAGTCAGTAGAGCATTAAGATTCCTCAGGAAATCTGGGCACAATGATGTGTGCCTTGCAGTCCCAGCTACTTGGAGGCTGAAGTGGGAGGATCACTTGAGCCAGGAGTTAGAATCCAGCCTGGGCAACCTAGCAAGACCCCCTCTCTAAAAGAAAAAAAACAATGGTAGAGTTGATCAGAGGAGTCTCTGTCTTATATTTCAAGGAAACTTTCAAAGACTGTCCCGCTCACAGTTCCTGCTGGCTCCTGGGCACAAACACAGTCACTCACTGGTGCATTCACCCAGCTTATACTGGTCCTGCTCTGTGGAAATTATAGAAACTGCCAGGGCATGGTGCATTTCTTGGGGGGGTCTAGTCTAGGAGAGGTACTGCTGTCTGCACACATATACATGTGGTGAAAGATAATGTCTGAGGAAGGAGGACAGCGCCAGTTGGAGGTAAGGAAGAGAGGCTTCTGTAAGAGGTGGTGCAACCACAGGGCCTTGAGGGTGGCGAGGATCTGGCTTTAAAGCAACGTGGGAATGCATTGTAGCATCAAGGTGGCGTCGGCACCAGTTCTTCCTACACTGCTATCTGATGAATTCTTGATGGAGCCATGTGGGATTTTGGTGTCTGTTGCAGATCGGGGCACCCGACCAAGGAAGAAGAGGCGGCGACTCAGGGCCAGTGTGTTTGCCCTGGCCCTGCCGCTGAGCCTGGGCCCATGCTGGGCTCTCTGGGCTGCTGTCCCGAAGGCTTCACCTACCATCCGAGGGCCGCAGCGGAGGCTGCTGGCGAGCCTGCTGCAGGTGAGGCTGAGCTGGCACCACGAGGATGCAGGGTAGTTAATGCAGGGCCTGCCAGTGCCCTGGGTAGAGGTGGGGTGGAGGTGGGGGTGGGCCTTAACCCTTGCCAGTAATGGAAGAAACCTTCTAAAAGCAGAAAAGGGCCCGTGAGGTGGCTCACATCTATAATCCCAGCACTTTGGGAGGCCAGGAATTACTTGAACCCAGGAGTTTGAGACCAGCCTGGGCAACGTAGCGAGACCTCCTCTCTACAATGAAATTTTTTAAAAAATTAGCTGGAGCTGGGCTCGGTGGCTCAGCCTGTCATCCCGCACCTTTGGGAGGCTGAGGTGAGTGGATTGCCTGAGCCCGCGGGTTCGAGACCCGCCTGGGCAACTTGACGAGACCTCATTTCTACAATAAATCAAAAATTAGCCAGGTGTGGGAGCGCACCTGTAGTTCCAGCTACTTGGAGGGCTGAGGCGAAAGGATCGCCAGAGCCTAGCAGGTTGAGGCTGCGGTGGCTGGGAGTGGCCACTGCACTCCAGTCTGGGTGACAGAGTGAGACTCCAACTCAAAAAAAAAAAAGTGGAAAAGGACTCGCCAGCTTTGGCTATTTCTTGGGACAGGTGGACAGTCTCTACAGAGTGCTGATGGTGCCTCACCTGTGTTTGCAGGAAAACACTGAGATCCTCGGCTACCTGCTAGGTAGCATCGCCGCCTTTGGCTCCTGGGCCTCCCGGATCCCCCCACTCTCCAGAATCGTGAGGCTGGGGACAGGGCTGGGACTGTGGGTCATGTAGCAGATCTCGGGGCATCTGGGAGCACCTTGCAAGCCCCGGGTCATTGGGCGAGGTGTGGCATCCCCATGTGTGCCTGCACATGAACTTAGATTTTTCTGAGGAGCAACAGTGTATATGACAGCAAGGCAGGTTATGAGGGGGGACCCAAAAAAACCTGGAATTATCTTTTGGAGGGCAGGCCCCTTGTAGCACAGGCGTCCTCTGCTAGGTAAGTGTTCTAGGAACCCATTGGCATCAGTTTGCCAGTTAGTGTTGTTGTGAGAGGCTGCGTTCAGCTTCAGTGAATTTGTTTTGGAGATTCTTTCAATGCATTTGCCTATTTCATGATGGGTGAGTTACCAGTGCACCTGCACACACCTCGCTGAGTGTTCAGCAGTTTTTGACAAAAAGCAGCATGACGGCTGTGCCCTACTCTTTTATTTTTTGTTTCTCAGATGAAAAAGTCCTTAAAGGGAAACGTTTCCTGATGTGGAAGAGGTGAAACAAAAACTGGCAGGAGCACTAAAAGGCATAAAAATTGACAAGTTTAGAAACTGTTTTGAGCAGTGAAAAAAGTGCTTCAATAGGTGTATTGCACCAGAGAGTACTTTGAAGTTGACTGAAGTTTAAGCATGCAAAAATAAATACACAATTTTTTATAAATAAATTCTGGGCCGGGCGTGGTGTCTCAAGCCTATAATCCCAGCACTTTGGGAGGCCGAGGTGAGAGGATTACCTGAGTCCGCGGGTTCGAGACCAGCCTGGGCAACTTGGTGAGACCTCATCTCTTCAATAAAATCAAAAAAATTAGCTGGGCATGGTAGCGTGTGCCTGTAGTTCTGGCTACTTGGAAGGCTGAGGCGGAAAGATCACCGGAGCCCAGCAGTGCAAGGCTGCGGTGGCCAGGATCATGCCACTGCACTCCAGCCTAGGCGACAGAGTGACACCTCAACTCAAAAATAAAATAAATAAAATAAAATAAATTCTGGGTTTCTGGGGTCCCTCCTCATATGTGGAGAGAGTGGGCAGCCCATCTGGGGGCCCTGAAGACTTCCAGTGAAAGCCTCTGCATCCTTTCCCATTTCTGCTAGCGAATCAGGAAAAGCTTACCCCTGGGGCTGGATAAAGAAGTATCCCACTAGGGGGTGAGAAGGTTTTTAAGGCTAGACACAGTCAAGCATTGAGGTTCTGTGTAGATGGAGAGGTCCATGCATCTGAGGAGAGGGAAGCCCTGTGTTGGCCGGTCCTGTGGGGGATACAGACATGAGCTGAGACATTGTGCTTGCCCTCGGAGAGCTCACAGTTGGGAGACAAAAAAGCGTGAAGCAGGATCTCTTAAGGCTCTAAGAAAGATAGAGACAAACATTTGAGGTTTGGTAGAGAAGACTCCTATGCTATTCAAATGAGCGAGGGTGAGGACTGTTTACACTGCCAGGCTTTGCGGGGGCTGTCATGTTGACTCAGAAGGGAGCATGGGATTTGAGGAGGCAGAGGCTAGGGAAGGCAGTCCAGCAGGGGATGGACTTCAGGAAAAGCGCCTGGGGAACAGCAAGCTACTGTGGACCTGTGAGAACCACTCTGCCAAGTATTCTCCATAGATAACCTTGAGACAGCTGTGCCTGTCTCACTGACAGAGCAGTCGCCAAACCTAACGCCATGAAATGTCATGGACCATCATCTAGCTGAAAAGGATTGCTTGCCCAAGAGCATCATGGTTGAACGGCAGCTCCAAGGAAACAGGATTTGGGAAGGGCGAGTGGCTAGCAATCATTTGTGTGACACTTCTGCCTGTGCATGGCTGTCAGGAGCTTCTCAAGCCATGGGTCTTAGCAGCTGGTGTTCTAGGTTGAGATTAAGGGGTGACAGTCGGGAGCCCTGGGCCTGGCTCAGCAGTCCAGTGAGGTAGGTCTCCAGGGTGGCATGGGGCCCTGGGGTCCATGTCCCATGAAGACCTTTGAAGAAGCTGGCACTGCGCCCTGCCCTGTAGTAGTTCCCTCAGGCTACTGTAACAACATACCCCACACTTTGAACAACAGAAATGTATTATCTCAGTGCCAGATACCAAAAGTCCAAGATCAAGGTGCTGGCAGGACCATGCTCCTTCTGCAGGATCTGTTCCAGGCTCCCTCCCAGTTTCTGGTGGTTCTGTGGCTGTCTCTGCAGCTGCCATGACTCTTGGTGTCAGCACAATGATTGATGATCAGCGGGTGTTTCACAATCTTCGTCTCATTCAAGGACACACTCCCAGAGCTATAGGAACTTTAACATCAAGGCCGCCCAGCCATTCCTCTCCTTAGCATCATAGCTGAATTAGAATCAGCTTCTGGGAGACCCATAGTCTGAGGCCACACTGGCCCCAAAACCCCAAACCCTGCTGGATTTCTCCCTGCTAAGGGAACCCTAGCTCTGGGGTCTTCTTTATGGGACCAGAGACACTTGAGCCCAGCAGCACCTCAGAGATTGCCCAGCCAATCCCTAGTGCATTCTCACTCTATCATCCTGCTCAGGGGCCATCAAGCTTGAACACCTACAGTGATAGGGAGCCCACTACCTCCGAAGGCAGAAATAACACTGATAGTCACTATATGCCAAGTGCTGTGCAGTGCCCTACTCAGGACGTCTTTCTTTTGCTCAGTGGGAAGTGACCCACTCTCACCCTCTTCCCCGTCTTGGTCTTGGATCTGTTCTCTGAGATCTCAGAGAGCAAGGCTGATCCTTCTGCCCCCAAACAGCCCTTCTGATTCTGGCACCCACAGCTTCCTTTCTTCCAGGCCAGATTGAGTCACTCAAGTGTTTACTGACACCTACTCCAGACAGGCCCTCGGCGCCTACATTACAGTGGGGAATAAAACAGGGCATTGCCCTCATGGTGCTAACACTCCACGGGGGACCAGGCAGCACCTCTGGAAATAACTAAAGGAGCTAGTTTCAGGCTTCATAAATGCTCTCAAGAAAATAAAGCAGTGAGGGGACATGGTGGTGGGGGCTATTTTAGGTGGGGTGGTATTATGGGTTGCATAGTGTCCCCCCCAAATATGTTGAAGTCCAGCCCTCAGTGCCTATGAATGGGGCCTTATTTGGAAATAGGGTGTTTGCAGACGATCAAGTCAAGATGAGGTCACCAGGGTGGGCCCTAAAATCCAATCCATTATTAAAAGGGGGAAGTCAGACACAGAAAGGGGTAACGGGCAGACAGACTAGTGAGGAAACACACACGAGAAGGACAAGGATGTGCCACCTGGGTCAGTCAATGGCAAGAGTCATGGCAGCTGCAGAGACTGAGGCATGTCCTGCCTACATTCCCTGGCATTGTTGTGCCAAGCTGGGGTGTGCTCCCCACATCTGTTCTGCCCTGTAGTCAATGCTCATATGCTGGAGAAGAACCTGCCACAGCTCATCAAGCCATGGTCCAGTTCTATTCTTCAAGCAGTTATTAAGCACCTACTGTGTGCCCGGCCCTTCAGATTAGTAGCACCCGCTAGGCCCCAGGACTGACCCTGAAAAGACTGAGTCTAGACGACAGTGGACACTGTAAATGAGTTGGTACGTGAGTCAGGGCCACCGGTTCCCAGCACGGGCACATCCGGAGCAGCAGCAAGATGAAGCCGAGAGGCGGAGGCCAGGGGCCCAGCCTGGCTCTGCCAGTCTCTTCCCCTCTGACTGTTAGAGGCCTCTGTAAAATGATGGTGGGTAGCTAGTCTGGGGGACCTCGAGGGCCTCTGGCCATGGCAGTGCTGCTTCCTGTGTGAGGAGGGATGGGCTGATGGGAAGAGGTATCGTCGTCGCCCTCAGCCTCTGGGTCCCATAGCCAAGGCTGCCTTCCCTGCGGGGGCTCTACAGAAAAGCGTCTGTCTGTGCTGTGTGTCTATAACCATCTTCGGGGTGTGGCAGGAGAGAAACAGGGAGGCCTGTGAACAAAACTAGAGGGAAACGTCACATCCCCGAGAATTGTTTTTGAGGGTGAAAATAAAAATGGAGGAAGATCAGCCAAAACGTGCTTTTTCCCCTGAAATCTTTCCATTCCTTAGCTAAGGCCTTTATGTCTGTAACTATGGTCATCTAATAAGCAAAGTAAAGTGTATATAATTTATACTCATATATTAATTTAAATATATATCATATAATTATGTAATTAGAAATATATAGTGTCTGTGTATATACATGTAAATGTATACACAAAGTGACTTTATGCCTATAAAGGCTACTTATATAGAATGTTTCCTTTTTTTGAACCAATATTTCTATGACTTATTCTCTAAAAATGTTCCACACACTTCAGAATTTCCAGAATATCATCTCTCATTTTCCTGATGTTCCCCTTCTGACCTGGTCCAGAATTGGTGATCCTAAAAAGAGAAGGGTTGGGCCTGGGCCCTTGGTAATTCAGTCTCCCTCCCATTCTCCCAGCTGACATTTGCAAGCCCCTGCCCAGTGTCAGACGCTGGGCACAGAGATGGTGAGGACCCCTGCCCTGCTCTCGGGAGCTTTCCGAGTGTGTAAAGGGCTAAGTCTTGAGCAGCAAAAGGCACTCCAATAAAGAGACGTGTCAGGCAGACGGGGCCCAGAAGAGGAAAGTGGCAAGGGGAGATTTCTCAGAGTTAAGTTTAAGTCAGATTCTGAGGAATGAGTAGGAGTTTGACAGGCAAAAGAAGCAACCTGAGCAAAAGCTGGAAGTCTAAGAAGCAGTGCCCTTGGGGACTGGCTGTGGGCAGGGGGCTTACCCCCTAACCTGGTATGACACTGAGGGGTATGGTTCTCATGATCCCGTGTTCCTCCCTACTTAGTCCCCTCCTCTCTGCTCAGTGCCGAGGGAAGACATTTCCCTCCATCCACCTGTGGACCCGGCTCCTGACGGCCTTGGCTGGCCTCCTCTACGCCTCGGCCATTGTGGCCCATGACCGACAGCCTGAGTACCTGCTGCGGGCGACACCCTGGTTCCTGACCTCCCTCGGCCGTGCTGCACTGGACCTCGCTGTATCCACCCCAGACCTGGGAGCTCGACTGCCTGCAACCAGAGGGAGCCTCTTCCCCTCCCTGTCCCATCACGCTGTCTTCCCTCTTACTAGATGGAACTCTCTCGGTGGTCAGGGAGGCGATTTGAAGCCCGGGGCAGCAGACACAGATGCAGTTCTTTGCAGTTTGGTGTTTTCCCTTTTTTATACATAAGGAATTATCTCTTGGCTGGAGCTCTCCGAAATGGCGAGGGGGTGTGTGGAGTGGAGATTCCTGGCTGTGAGATGACAAACCCCAGGTGCCAGTTGCAGTTCTGCTTCCTGCCTGGCCATCTCATCCCGGCAGAGTCCCTACCCCCACGGAGACTCCTTTGCTCATTTTTGCCTCACCTTGTTCTCAGGAAAGGGGGAGAGCTGTGCATGCTGACCTGCTCTGCAGGGCTGACTGTTCTGCGTTCTGTTCTCTTTGTGCTGGGGCCTGGGCTGGAAATGTAGAGATAAAAGCCAACAAGTGCTGCCACTCATTAGTGGCTGCTGAGCACTGTCTTGGTTCCCCAGGGGTGTTGCCTGATGTGCTGACACCAGGTGACCTTGTCATGAGCTTCAAGGGCAAGCCAAATGCAGACAGCCGGCGGGAGGAGGAGGCTGGGATACTGGCTGTGGGTCGAGGCTCACTATGTTGGTGGTGGTATGTGAATAACCCTGAAGTCCAAAGGCAAGGCAGGGCCACAGCCTCTCTGCAGGTGCAAAGGAGAAGCTTTCCTTGCCTCTTTCAGTGTCTGCTGGCTCCTGATGTCCCTTGGCTTGGGCAACATGATTGTTACTTCTGCCTCTGCCATGGCCATCTTCCCTTGGTGTAACTCTGTGTGTCTTCTCCTTTCCTTTTGTTTTGTTTTGCTGGGTCTGGGTCTCACTCTGTCACCCAGGCTGGAGTGCAGTGACACAGTCACGGTTCACTGCAGCCTCAACCTCCTGGCTCAGATGATCCTCCAGCCTAAACCTCCCAAATAGCTGGGAACACAGACATGCGCTGCTGCGCCCAGCTAATTTTTGGATTATTTTGGAGAGACGAGGTCTTGCTGTGTTGCCCTGACTGATCTCAAACTCCTGGGCTCAAGCAATCCACCCACCTCGGCCTCCCAAATTGCAGGAATTGCAGACATGAGCCACTGTACCTGACCTTCTCCTTGTCTTATAAAGACTCCAGCCGTTGGCGTTAGGGTCAACTCCAATCCACTATGACTTCATCTTAACTAATTGCATCAGCAAAGACCCTACTTCCAAATAAGGCCACATCCTGAGGTTCCAGGAAGATATGAATTTTTAGTGAACTCTATCCAACTCATTGCCCGTTCTGCAACAAGTGTTTACAAAGTGCTTTTTAAGGATAGAGTCTTGGGTACTGGGTCATTGTGGGGACAAGAAAACAGTGAGAGTCAGACCTGGCCCTGTCTTCAAATGAGTTCATTTCTTAATTTTCAGGTTCTGCTGTTTTAAAAAAAAAAAAAAAAAGGCCAGGCCCAGTGGCTCATACCTGTAATCCCGCTTTGGGAGGCCAAAATAGGAGGATCGCTTGAGCATAGGAGTTCAAGACTAGCCTGGACAACATAGCGAGATCTTGTCTCTACAAAAAATTTAAAAAATTAGCCAGGCGTGGTGGCATGCATTTGTTGTCCTAGCTACCCAGGAGGCTGAGGCACAAGGACCACCTAAGCCCAGAAGGTTGAGGCTGCTGTGAGCTGTGATCATGCCACTGCATTCCAGCCTGGGCAACAGAGTGAGACTCCAGCTGGGAAAAAAAGAAAAAACTCATGTCTTCTAGGGACAGACCTGGGCAGGATAATACTGGGGAGTTAGGAGAGGGGATGACATGGCATAAGGGTGGGAAGGCAGCACTAGGCGGCTTCTGTCTTAACATCCACCACCACATCAGATCATTTTCCTCTCGTATGTGATGAAGAGCAAGATGAGACGGGCCCTGGGATTTGCCACTGAAGCCCAAGAGAGCCCCGACACCCAAGCCCTTTTGACCCGTGCAGAGAAAGAGGAAGAAAACGAAGAGGCAAGGAACGAGGACAAGGTCTCTGGCTGGAAAACTCTGGTCCCACCGAAACGTTTACTGGCTTGGAGTGGACAGGGACAGTGTGCTCAGCAAGGACCAGGCTTGGGAATTCTGGAAGGCCCTCTGTGCTTGGCCAAAGACCCAAGCTGGCCAGTCGGTCACTTTAAAAGCTGCTGTTTATGTTCAAAGCTAAGGTGACCCTGAATGCAACGCGATCCCCCATTTTCTCAGTTACGAAAAATTTTTTAAAGTTTTTTTGATCACTTGAACTGAATATACTTTTGGCAGTGTAGGTGAAATAGTCGTGTCCACTTATGCTACTGAGTAATTTACTTGCTGATACATAAATTCACATATAAGTATATTAATACATTAATTTAAGATAATGTGATTTTTCCACTCATTTTATTAAATATATTCCCAGTTTCACAATGATCTTTGACATCCACAGTATCACCACCACCTAACACAGTGTCTCAGAGCCTGTCATGACGATCTGCTGTTGGTGCAGCCTTTGAGAACCCGTGTGTGATGCTGTGTTTAGAAATTCATCTCAAGCCACAGGGACCCATTTGCTATTTGTGACCACTATAATGTAACTAATTGATTGCTTTTGTTTTTAAGTCAATATTGCTATAAAGCTGATCTTAAAAATTTTGTCTATAGGCTAGGCGTGGTAGCTCACTCCTATAATCCCAGCACTTTGAGAGGCCAAGATGAGAGGACTGCCTGAGCCTATGGGTTCGAGACCAATCTGGGCAACTTGTCGAGACTTCATCTCTACAATAAATCAAAAAATTAACCAGGCATGGTGGCGCATGCCTGTAGTTTCAGCTACTTGGAAGGCTGAGGCAGAAGGATCACCTGAGCCCAGCAGGTCGAGTCTGCGGTGGCCAGGAGCGTGCCATTGCACTCCAGCCTGGGCAACAGAGTGAGACTCTAACTTAAAAAACAAAAGTTTGTCTATAATAACACCTGACATTGACCACTGGGTCATACCACCAGCAAGGGTTCATATGTCTGGGGTAAATGTGTTTGTCTGCTTTTTTTTTTTTTTGAATTGGAGTCTCACTCTGTCACCCAGACTGGAGTGCAGTGGCATGCTCACGGTCACTGCAGCCTTGACCTGCCAGGCTCAGATGATCCTTCAGCTTCAACCTTCCAAGTAACTGGAACTACAGGCATGTGCCTCCACACCCAGCTAATTTTTTGATTTATTGTAGAGATGAGGTCTCGAGTTGTCCAGGTTGGTCTCGGACCCATGGGCTCTGGCAGTCCTCTCACCTTGGCCTCCCAAAGTGCTGGGATTATAGGCGTGAGCCACCGCCCTGGGCCTGTCTCCTTCTTTGGCTGATCTAAACAGGTGAGCTCTACAAGTAGCCAGAACTTCTTTTAACTGAGACAGTTTGTCTTCATCAAAAGTTCCATGTTTCAAGTAATTGAGAAAGCTTGGAAGGATTTGAATATAACGTGACTCCCTCTTTTCTTTTTTCTTTTTTCTTTTTTCTTTTTTTTTTTGAGTTGGAGTCTCACTCTGTCGCCCAGACTGGAGTGCAGTGGCCGCTCCCGGCCACCGCAGCCTCAACCTGCTGGGCTCCGCGATCCTTCCGCCTCAGCCTTCCAAGTAGCTGGAACTACAGGCACGCGCTACCACGCCCGGCTAATTTTTTGATTTGTTGTAGAGATGAGGTCTCACCAAGTTGCCCAGGCGGGTCTCAAACCCGCGGGCTCAGGCAATTCACTCACCTCAGCCTCCCAAGGCGCGGGATTACAGGTTGAGCCACCGGGCCTGGACTCCCTCTTTTCTAAGATTTTCTTCTAGGTAAAAAATTCTCGCTTATTACCTGAGCTTTTCACTACCTTAGATTCCTCTTATAGAGAGTAGGAATGAGACTGTGAGTGAACTTCTTCCTAAGGTGTGGAGGGTACATTTGAACAGATTGAAAAGAAAACTGCTCTGAGTATTCTCCGAATGGTTTGACGATGTGATCTGACTGAGTTAATGAATTAGAAGGCAGTGGTGTGTATGACAAAGATAAAAGTCTTGTACTTAAGTGCTTGGACCAAAGAGCCAAGTTTCTGTGATGGCCCTAGTGAGAAGTTATCTTCGTTTCATTCTAGCAAGTGTTACAAAATTATATCTCAAAAGGGTGCTAGAATATTAACAGAGAGCTCAGTGTGTCTTAGGATTTGGAAGAGAGAAGTAAAAACCTTGGCAGTGTCGAGCAATCCTTCACAGCAGTGGTTCTCAATGTGTGGTCCCTAGACTGGCATCACCTGGAAATTGTTAGAAATGCTAGGACTCCACCCAGATCTCCAAAATCTGAAATGGAGGTTGGGGTCCAGCAATCTGCATTGTAACAAGCCCACAGGGTACTTCTGATGCACACTAAAGCTTGAGAACCACTGCTTCACAAAATCATTTATTTAGTACCTACTGCAAGGGTTCCCAAACCTTACATTAGAGTCATCTGGGGAGCTTTTAAACTATCCAATGCCTAGGTTATATCCTGTGCCAATCAAAATGGGGGTGGGAACTAAACATTGGTTTTGTTTTTTGTTTGTTTGTTTTTTATTTTTTGAGTTGGAGTCTCACTCTGTCACCCAGACTGGAGTGCAGTGGCCGCTCCCAGCCACCGCAGCCTCGACCTGCTGGGCTCCGGCGATCCTTCCACCTCAGCCTTCCAAGTAGCTGGAACTACAGGCGTGCGCTACCACGTCCGGCTATTATTTTTTGATTTGTTGTAGAGATGAGGTCTCGCCAAGTTGCCCAGGCAGTTCTCGAACCCGCAGACTCAGGCAATCCACTCACCTCAGCCTCCCAAAGCGTGGGATTACAGGCTGAGCCACCGAACCCGGCTATCAGTTTTGTTTTTTAAGATCCTTGGCTGTGTTGCAAAGTGTGGGAACTACTGACCTACTGTGACCTCAAAGAGAGAGATAAGACACATCTTATAGAAAGCAGAAAGTGAGATGTACTGTGATTTAAAAAATATATATAGGCCAGGCTCTGTGATTCAGCCTGTAATCCCAGTACTTTGGGAGGCCGAGGTGAGTGGATTGCCTGAGCCGCGGGTTCGAGACCCATCTAGCAACTTGCCAAGACCTCATCTCTACAATAAATCAAAAATTAGCTGGGCATGGAAGCGTGTGCCTGTAGTTCCGGCTACTCGGAAGGCTGAGGCGGAAGGATCGCCGGAGCCCAGCTGGTCGAGGCTGCGGTGGCCAGGAGCGTGCCACTGCACTCCAGCCTGGGCGACAGTGAGACTCTGACTCAAAATAAAATATATATATATATCTTGGGGATAATTTTGAATAAAATGGGAACTTGTTTTTAGAAAATGCCTCCTGACTAAGAATTCCCCTTTTCTGTTTCCCCGTCTCCACTTGAAAGAATTCAGATTGGGTGCCTCTCACCACACTGTCACACTGCAAGTCACTAAGGACAATGGCAGCAATCAGTCGCTACATGGAGCTGACCATCGAACCCGTGCAGCAGGTAAGTGGCTGTGGACCACAGCAGGTTGTCCCAAAGGATGGGAAGCAGTTGTGGAAGGCTTCCTGGAGGAGGTGATGCTTTAGTGGATGAATGTGCAGGACAGGGAAGCATGTAAAAAAGAAGGACCTCTCCAAGGCTGCAGTAGAGGGACAGGTGGAGGGGAGTTTAGGGGAGAAAAATCTCTTCCCTCTACCCTCCTAACTGATAAAAGACAGACAAACAAGAGAAAACTTTAATTACTTGTACCCAGAAGTTTACAAAGAGAAATGTGAGCGGGGCTCCGAGGCTCATGCCTGTAATCCCAGCACTTTGGGAGGCAGAGGCAAGAGGATTGCCTGAGCCCAGGAATTTGAGACCAACCTGAGTAACTTGGGAGACCTCATCTCTACCATAAATAAAAAAGATTAGCTGGACATCGTGGCACATGCCTGTAGTTCCAGCTACTTCAAAGGCTGAGGCAGAAGGATCACCTGAGCACAGCAAATTGAGGCCGCAATAGTTGTGAGCGCGCCACTGCACTCTGGCCTGGGTGACAGTAAGACTCTGACCCAAAAAAAAGAAAAAGAGAAAAAAAAAATGCAGCTCAAGGAGGTGGCCAGATGAATGAGGGGTATACACCATCTTAGGCTAGACACAGGAGAAGGGGCTGGGTCTTCCGGGACCCAGGAAGGGGAGGAGGAATCCTAGGGGAAATAAGGGTTGTCTTGTTACCAGGATAAGAGCCTCTCGGGTGACAAGCGTTGCCTCTGGAAGTAGCTCTCTTCCGGTGCAGAAATATCTTTACAAATGGGGATTTCCTTTATAAAGGGGAGTTTCCTTTATGAAAGGGAAAAGGTATACTCTATTTTGAGGCCATTATGGGGAGGTAAGTAGCTTCTCCTGCTTCTGCTGGTTTCCAGTTGCCTTTAGGTCAAAGCAGTTCACTTGCCAAAGAGACATTTTTGGGGTGGCATGTTCTGGTGCCTTTCAGGAGTGAGGAGGCAAAAGGGTGGATCAGATCATCACACAGTCTGACTTGAGGGTGATGGGAGTCAGGGATGCTTGAGTACTGGAGACTCAAGGTCAGGGGTGCATTTTAGAGTATCCCTGGGCATAGCTGGGGGTGACCTAGGGGAGAAGAGACCAACAACAGAGCTGTCAGTGGGAGCAGTCTTGAGTCTTGGTCAGAGGCAGTGTGACCCAAACGGAGGCTGGAGCAGACGGACAAGCTGAGGTGGAGTCAAGGAAGTTGGGAAGTCGAGTGTTGAAGGGGTGAGGATGTGGGAGTCATGGGGGAGGCCCCGATTACTCCCTGGGTTCTCGCCTGCACACCGGGTCCTCAACAGGAAGAGGATTGGGAAAGAGGTGTCAAGAAGCTCACCCCATTGTCCCACTTTTCCACTAAGACTATTTTTGTCCAGGTCACCAATGATCTCTGAGTTGCTAAATCCAGTCATTGCTGTTCTCATCGCAATTCTGCTCCTCCAGCCGCTGTCTGCTTCTGAAGTCTGTGGCCCCACTCTCCTGGTTCTCCTGTCACCCTCTTGGCTGTTTGCTCTCCATTCCCTCCCTCTGTGGGCCCCTCCAGGAAGGCTGACTGCAGAGGGGAGTGCCCCAGGTCTGTCCTCTGAGGGCTCTCTCTCTTTTTTTTTTTTTGAGTTGGGGTCTCACTCTGTCACCCAGACTGGAGTACAGTGGCATAATCATGGGCACCACAGCCTCAACTCCTGGGCTCAGGCGTTCCTTCCACTTTAGCGTCTCAAATAGCTGGGACTACAGGTGTGCACCACCACACCCGGCTAGTTTTTTGTACAGATGAGGTCTTGCTATTTTGCCCAGGCTGATCTTGAACTACTGGGCTCAAGCAGTCCTCTCGCCTCAGCCTCCCAAAGTGCTGAGATTACAGTCATAAGCCACCTCGCCCTGCCTTCCTTCTCTCTTACCCTTGTGGTCCCACAGTCCCCAGCTCTACACACTAGCTCTTGCTGGCTTCCCTAGCTTGTGTCTCCATCCTTTTCCTCTCCCTCAGTTCCAGTCTTGGCTGCCTGACGTCACCATATGGTGTCTCACACATACCGTGTCCAACACAGAATTCTGGGTTTCCATGCCCAGACTGGCTTCTCTCCCCATCTTCCTCATCTCAGTAAATGACACACTGTCCGTGCTGTGGTTCAAGTCAGAAATTCCTGTCTTCCCCTTGCCTGATCAGTCTTTTTTCGAGTCATATAAATGCCTTCTTTAAACTAGGTCTTGAATACCAGCAGTCTCCTGACTGGTCTTCCTCTGTCTCCGTATATATTCTTGTCTTGCCCCCTCCATCTCTAACCAGCAGCCAGGAGAATCTTTTACAAAGACAAATTACATCTTGTCCCTCCTCTGTTTAAAACACTCCTCTGGGCCCTGTGCTCACACCTATAATCCCAACACTTTGGGGGATCACTTGGGCCCAGGAGTTAATGACCAGTCTGGACAACATAGCAAGATGTCACCTCTACAAAAAAATAAAAAAATTAACCAGGCATGGTGGCACACACCTGTAGTCCCAGCTACTTGGGAGGCTGAGGCAGAAGGACATCCTGAGCTCAGAAGGTCGAGGCTGTGGTGAGCTGTGTGAGCTGCACTCCAGCCTGGGTGACAGAGTGAGGACCCCGACTCAAAAAAAAATTTTTTTAATAAAATAAAACACTCCTCTGGCTTCCCATTTTATACAGAATAAAATCTGAACCCCTTACCAAGACTTCCAAGAGCCTCCAGACCTAGGCCCTGCCCCCTCCCTGGCCATGCCTCCTCTGTGCTGCTGTCCAGGTCCCTCCAGCCGCATCACACCAGGTGTCTCTCCATGCCCCGGCCCTGAGTGCTCTTCCTCCTGTCTTTTCTTTTTTTGTTGTTGTTGTTTTATTGGGTTTCTTTTGGGGGGGGGTTGGTTTTTTGTTTTGTTTTCGTTTTTTTTTTTTGAGTTGGAGTCTCACTCTGTCGCCCAGACTGGAGTGCAGTGGCCGCTCCCGGCCACCGCAGCCTCGACCTGCTGGGCTCCGGCGATCCTTCCGCCTCAGCCTTCCAAGGAGCTGGAACTACAGGTGTGCGCTACCACGCCTGGCTAATTTTTAGTTTTTATTATAGAGATGAGGTCTCGCCAAGTTGCCTGGGCTGATCTTGAACCTGTGGCCTCAGGCAATCCACTTGCCTCGGCCTCCCAAAGTGCTGGGATTATAGGCTGAGCCACCAAGCCCAGCCCCTCCTGCCTTTTCAGTATGGCTTCCTTTTTCTTCTCTTTCATCCTTCAACTTCAATGTCACTTTCTCCACAGCCCTCCCCAGCCATCCAGTCAGAAGAAGAACTTATCTCTGTCTTTTCCTTTTGCTTGTGGTCTGTCCCCCTACTGAGATGTAAACTACGTCTCCTGTCTTGTCTACTCCTAGTGCCTGTAACCTGGTATTCCTATAAAGGTGTGTTCTGAACATGTGATCCAGTGGTAAGGCCCTGCTCCGCTGCCCAGGGGACACACTGGTGTTCAGAGAGAGTCTAAGCCTGAGATATGTTTTGCTTTTTTGCTGTTGTTGTTCCTTGGACATTGGGTGCAAATAACCTTGTGTGTGACATAAGTGAAGTTCAGAGAAATTCAGAGCATGCTTTTTTAAAATTTATAATTTTTATCTTTCAAGTTGGGATCTCATTCTGTCATCCAGGTTGAAGTACAGTGGCATAGTCACAGCTCACCATAGCCTCGACCTCCTGGGCTCAAGTGATCCTTCAGCTTCAGCCTCCCAAGTAGCTGGGACTACAGGCACACACCACCACGCCTAGCTAATTTTTAAAATATTTTGTAAAACGAGGTCTTGCTATGTTGCCTAGGCTGATATCAAACTCTTGGACTCCAGTGATCCTCCCGCCTTGGTTTTCCAAAGCGCTGGGGTTACAGGTGTGAGCCACTGAGCTGGACCTAATGATATTATTTTAAATTGAGGCACAGGGAAGTTAAGTAACTTGTCCAAGATCCCACAGTTAGAAAATCATAGAAATTGGTTTCAAACTAAGCCTGTCTGATCTGGGGTCTGAGCTTTTATAAGGAGAACATGCTCTCAGTGCTGCCATGTAATACCTGCTGAGCTAGCTTTATTTTTTTTTTTTAAAGTTGGAGTCCACCCAGGCTGGAGTGCAGTGGCACGCTCACGGCCACCCCAGCGTTGACCTACTGGGCTCCAGTGATCCTCCCGCCTTAGCCTTCCAAGTAGCCGGAACTATCAGTGCGTGCTACCATGCCCAGCTAATTATTTATTTATTGTAGAGATGAGATCTCGCTAAGTTGCCTGGGGTTGGTCTCGAATCTGCAGGCTCAGGCAATCCACTCACCTCGGCCTCCCAGAGTGCTGAGGCCACTGAACCCAGCCGAGTTAGCAATTTTTAACTTTCTGTAATGAGAATGTTCCAGTGGGCCAGGTTGTGGGGAACCAGGTACCCTGTTGACAGTGTATACTGATATATAAATTTATACATAAGTTTTCTGGAAACATATAAGTTTGGTAGCCTTCTGGAAATGGGTTAGGAGAGCCACAGAAAGGCTCCCTCATTTTCCCAGCCATGCTTGCCTCGTGAGCACTGGTCCTAAGGAAAGACTGTTCCCCGAGATGCAGGGGGAATAGCCCCATTGTGCAGGCCCAGCCACATGGGGTCATGTGTATCAACTGCCTTCCTTGGCTTGGAACGTTTGAAAACCCCATTTTATCTGTTGCCTCAGGTGTGGCCAGACCCTGGGGATTTACAGAATTGATCATCGCCTGGGAGATAGCTGCTTCCCCAGCCCCACCCAGAGGTTTCTGTTTCAGCATCCTTCCCAGGTGGGCAGCTGGTGTGGCATCTCACCTGCGTTTCTGGGCTGCTTCCAGAACGCTGCTTTTGCTTCCTTTGTAGATTTTCTCTGTCTATCCAGCAGATTTCTACATGAAACTGTGCACTTAACCCATTAAAGGCAGGAGACCTGCTTGATTTGGGGCCTAGCACCCGTAGCCATTTTCCTCATGTGTCCAGGGCATTTGCTTCTGAGCCCCATGACACCACTTCAGGGGAGGCAAAGCAGGATTATCACCCCCTTTAGGGACTCAGAGAGGACAAATTTCTTTCTGAGGTCATGTGGTTAATTAATGGAAGATGCTAATCCAGATAGCAGGTTGTTCGCCCTGTTGTGTGTCAGCAGCACAGCCTGATTCCTGCATGACACTGAAAGTCTAACTGATAGAACTTTGTAGATCCCGGAGGAAGCCCCATGAGGCCTGTGGGAAGAAGCTCTGGTTTGAGATAGATAGATGGCCAGGCATGGTGGCTCATGCCTGTAATCCTAGCCCTTTGGGAAGCCAAGCTATGAGGATTGCTTGAGCCTAAGAGTTTGAGACCAGCCTGGACAACATATCAAGAACTCGTCTCTATAAATACATACATACGTACATACATACATACATAATAGAGAGATGGTAGAAAACATCCGTGAGCTGGGCTCGGTGGCTCAGCCTGTAATCTCGCACCTTTGGGAGGCTGAGGTGAGTGGATTGCCTGAGCCCGCGGGTTCGAGACCCGCCTGGGCAGCGAGACCTCATCTCTACAATAAATCAAAAAATCAGCCGGGCGTGGTAGTGCATGCCTGTAATTCCGGCTACTCGGAAGGCTGAGGCGGAAGGATCGCCGGAGCCCGGCAGGTCGAGGCTGCGGTAGCCGGGAGCGGCTACTGCACTCCAGTCTGGGCGACAGAGTGAGACTTCAACTCAAAAAAAAAAAAGAAGAGGAACTTCTGTGCTTAATAAAATAATGTCACATTCCTTCTTGTCTCTCATTATGCAGTATTTTTGACAATTTTGTAGTTGTAAAACAATTATTGTGACTCGACATGGTAGCTCATGTCATAATCCCAGTGCTTTGGGAGGCCAAGTTGGAAGGATAGCTTGAGCCCAGGAGTTTGAGACTAGCCTGGGTGTCGGGAGCCATAATCTTACAGGTGCCAGTTCTGAAGCTGCCTGAAGCGTACCCACTTCACCAGGCAGGCAGAGCCACTGGTGAAAACCATGGAATTGGCAGAGCCCCATGGAAGAGAAGGCAGAGGGACTTCAGATGGCCCTGGAAAAAACAATGTATGCTCCTCATGGCATTAAGTTTCATGATATGTTTATCCCGGATGTTTGTTAAAATTTTATCCGTTAAACACTCTGTTTTGAATGAAACCCAATTCTATGGATCAACCGAAACTAGACATGACGTCTAAAGGTCATTAGTTAATGATCTT